CGGAAAATACCAACTGAAAAAGAAGAAGAAGAAGAAGAAGAAGAAAAATAAAGAACTTTTTCCTTAAAAACGGTAGTACAAGAGAGATTTAATCAAGCAAAGAGAGAGAGAGAGAGAGAGTTCAAACAAAAAACTCAATTTCCTAACCTGTACCATTTTAGAAAATCTTCGTTAACAATATTTTTCGTCGAGTATTTTATTTACAACGAAAATTATTTTCGTAATATACGCAGAAACACGAAGAAAAAAATTTCATAAATTCATTTCGTTCGACGAAAGAACTGATTTAAAAAAAAGGAAAAAAAAGGAAAAACAAATTAAACGATTATTACGTTGATAAAATGGACGAAACGGAAATCGAAGGTATTCTCTGGTATTCGACGAGTTTGCAGAGTGAAATCAAATTAGGTAATTAAGATGAAGAGGTGTACTAGAGGCGAGGAGGGAATATTCTTATCAACGCTTGGTTGCTTGGAATTCCTTGGAAAATTTCACCGATTAATCGAGAGCTTGGTATCGAGCTCCAACCAATTTAAACGAGGATCAAGCATTTAGGCAATTTTCTTGATTAACTTTTACAGGATGCACGCGTATATTTACGTTGCAATGAACATTTAAAACTTGCTTAATTTTTCCATAACTTGCATTGTTTTTTTTTTTTTTTTTATTAAAGAAATACATCGCAAAAATTCAATTATATTAACGCAATATTTTAATACGTTCGCGTTGAACGATTTCCATCGCTTTACACAATTGGAAAGAAAATAATCGTGTCGTATCGATATTTTTACAACGTATTCGCATATAAATATCGAATAACTTTAAAACGTGATGAAATCGTCGATACCTGTGTGTTAAAAATTTCACAGGAATATAATATCGTTTGTATTACACCATTTATATCGAACAAAGTGCAAAGTCGAACGAGAATAATATCCGTTTACGGAGAGGAAACTTGTATTTGTATTTACGCTACTTCGTAAATACACGACAGTTCGACGTACTTTCATCATCGAAACCAAAAAGACCAGAGAAACCGATATTCCTTCCGTCCGCGATACGACGACAAATCTTTTTACCATTCTCTCTAAAAAAAGAAAAGGGAAGAATTTTCTCCGATAGAAGAAAATCGAAGAAAGAAGAAACGAATCCGTATTATCCCTCCTCCTACGAGAAACAATCCCGTCATATAATTCAGAAATAATAACAATAAAAAAAGAACGATTGGACGGATACGTTTACCAATTTGCACGTTTCATCGTAATAGAATAATATCAAATAAGTATTTGATTCTCGATCTTGAAAATTTTTCACTTGTCTCTCCCCTTGTTGCCTATAGATAAAAATGGATAGAAAAGAAGGATATATAAAGTCTTAAAGAGTCTTAATCTTTAACTTAAAGGAAAATCTTGAGAAGCGAAAAGGGAGAAAACTGGCGCAACGAAAATTCTCTCTCCTATCTTTTTGCGTATATATAATTCTGTTCGAAGTTGGGTCGAAAAAACAATTCTCTTCCTTTCTTTCTTTCCTTGCTTTAATAAGCTCGACTCGGCGGGTATCAACGGCGAAACAAATGAAATTTAACTACAATCTCGGCGGGATTACACGAGGGGGGGGGGGAGGGTTTCGATTCTCAAAGGTTTGGTCGAGCCTCGAACAAGGGAGGGGGGAATTTCCGCCGGTGAAATGGCAAATGATCCGTAACAGCGGCGTTGGAAATTCAAATAAGAATGCCCTCCCGGGAGACGAGAACTTTTGTGCCTCTCCCCGTTCGACGCCGTTTAAGCGTTGACTCGCCAACCTCCTCCCACTCCTCCTCCTTCCTTTCGAAGCAAGCAAGGAATATTCGAAGGGTTGAGATTTTTTTTTTTTCTTTCTTTTTGCGATCGAGAATCGACTTCCGTTTCTTGTCGATCCGTTTCGCTCGAGTTTACGATAAAGCCTGATAGATTTTTCTTTTTTTTGTTTTTTTTTTTTTTTTTTTTTTTTTTTTTTT